CAGAAGACGTTTTCCGAGGGGCTGCGGCTGCCGACCGTGGAGCTGTAAGGCTATGCCCTCCCTCATGGAGAAGAGTTTAAGAGAAGTTAGCAATGTTTTCACCCCACGTGGGTTTGTGTGTGCTGTTTCCTGGGGGTTTCCCTCACCAGATCAATGAAGAGAAACTCCACGCGGCCGCATGAGAAGTCCATCTTGAAGAGCAAAGTGGGCGTTTTTTGCCTCTTTGTAGATCCGTAAGAACCTGTTAACGAGGTGTGCTTTTTGTGGGACAGGCTTTTCTGTGGTCGCTGTTCCTGCTTGCTGCCAGTCTGCCAGTTTGCCTTTTGTGGCCGTTGTACTACAGGGCTAACGGGCAGGGGACGGGAAACGGGCATCGGGCGCCGAGTGGGTTCACCGAGAGCGGGGGCGGGGCAGCGCGGTGTCAGCTGGGGGCGGGGTCGTCTGGGCCCTGCTGCCGCTCACTGGGCGGTCTCGGGCGGCAGACTGCAGCATCTGCGGAGTTTGCTTCTTTCTGAGGCGCACACAGCGCGGTGAGGACAGTCTCCCCAGCTCGGACCACCTTTTCCGGGCGGGTAACGGAAGCCGCTGAGCCAGCCACGTCGGGCCCGCGACACCATGTCACTGGCCTCACTCGAGCGCTGCGCTCTGCTCGCCGCCTTCAGACTCATTCCAGGTGTTTCTCCTGAGTTTTACGGACATTTGCCTTCTCTCTCGTTAGGCTGTCCAGGGCCGGTCAGTCACCCAGCAGGACAGGGACCTCCGAGTGGATCTGGGATTCCGGGGCATGCCCATGACCGAGGAACAGCGGCGACAGTTCAGCCCAGGCCCTCGCACCACCATGTTTCGGATTCCGGAGTTCAAGTGGTCTCCGATGCACCAGCGCCTTCTCACCGACCTGCTGTTTGCGTTGGAGACAGACGTGCACGTTTGGAGGAGGTAGAGAGGTTTCCTTCCTGTGAAAGAGGCTGCTCTCAGGAAAACGGGCATTCTTAACAACTGCGTAAACTGATCCATCCATAAGGGGATATGTCACCGAATAACGCCCACAAAATAATTAAACTTTACCCTCCTGAGCCCTGCTCCAAGGGCTGAGGGCTGAGGAGTCTAGCTTCAGCAACAGCGTCCCAGGAGGTCTGGAAAGGCAAGGGCACCAAGGCTCAGACAGGGTCACAGACCGAGAACAGCAAGACTAGACTCGCCCACAGACTAACAGTCACACAACCAAACCCTCACACACACAGTCTTGCACACACGTACTCTCACACACACATACCTTTCCCCCAACACCACACATACACCCTCATGAAACACACGTACACACCCTCACAAACACCCTCAGATACACACAGCCTCAGGCAACACATATCTCCCCCGATACCCTCATGTACACACATATGCACACACACCCTCTCATACACACCCTCATGCAACACATCGTCACACATACACACTTATGCACGCACATGCACATACCCTTGCACCCACAGCCTTGTGCACACACATGTGCACCCACACACACCCCTGCACATACACATGCATGCCCACACACCCTCATGTGCAGACACACCCTTGCACACTCCCCAACACACCCATGTACACACATTCTTATGCGCACAAACCTTTTCATGTGTGCACCCCCATGCACACACACACCCTTCACACCCACACACCATCACCCATAGCCTTGTACACATATATCCTCAACCCCCCATGCACACACACCCTTCACACCCACACACTCACCCATAGCCTTGTACACACATACCGTCACCCCCCATGCACACACACCCTTGCATATAGCCATGCACACACACACTCACACGTACCATTCCACACTTTGACACGCACACACATCCCCTTCATCGCCATGCTCACTTGCTCAACCACATACACAGTGGTATTTAGCTAACATGAGTGGTTTTTGTGTAGGTTGTTGGTAAAATAGTGGGAAGACCTTTAACTTTATAATTTTTTATTTTATGATACAAATATGAGCTGCCTGAAAAGAAATACGCATTTAGATTTTTGATAGAAACATAATTATTTTCCTAAGGATTATAGTACCTGGTGGTCAAACCAATAATGACTTAAGGCAAAACTGAAATCTGCCGTTGCATTTTCTATGTGCATAAGAGGTTTCTCGAAAGAAACTTTAGCTTCCATGTTTTTATCTCTTCCGATGAAAATTAATATGATGTAATTAATACCCCATTTATTCATGTGGTACTAAAATTCACTGTCACATCACCTTAAATGTACAACTTATATGGTTAGTAGGTATCATTTCAATATATTCACTTCAAGAATACAGAAAAACACGCTGCCATCCAGTCATTTCTGACCCACAGCTCCCCTAGAGGACAGAATGGAACTGCCCCACAGGTTTCCAAGGCTGTCAGTCTTTACAGAAACTGACTGCCTTGTCTTTCTCCCACAGAACAACTGGTTGGTTCAAACTGCTGACCTTTTCGTTAGCAGCTGGATGCTTTAACAATGGTGCCATCAGAGTGCCTTTAAAGAGTCCAGAAGTACACATAAATTAAAATATTACCTTTCCTCATTCTCAACATAGTTTTCTGTAGTAAATATACAACAAATTAATCAAGTATGAGAGTTTCATTTACACGTTAAGAAGTGTGTGGTGATATCTAACAGAACACTGCCATCAGCAACTTAAACAACTGAAGGTGTGACATTCTTGGGCCTTCCGCTTTCCCAGGCTTTCCTCTTAGCATTCAGGATGGCCACACCAGCTGCGCTCTTTGGTTCACCCAGGGAGCCTCCCCATGTCTCAAGGCAGGGGCTGCACTTCTGTCCCCTCTCCCTCCTGTTCCTCCTTTCTGGTTTCTTTTTATCCCCCCTTAAAGAGGCCTCTGAAGAAATGGCTCCCTTTGCCTCATGGGTCAGCAGGATCCCATGTTGTTGTCGTTGTTAGGTGTTGTCGAGTCATCTCTGACTCATAGCGACCCCATGCACAGCAGAATGAAACACTGCCCGATCCCCCACCAGCTCCTTGATCCTTGCTACACTTGAGCCCTTCATCGCAGCCACCATGTCAATCCATCTCGTTGAAGGCCTCCCCCTCTTTTGTCGACCCTCCACCCTACCAAGCATGACATCCTTCTCCAGGGAATGGTCCCTTCT